TATCAGTGAGTGATTTCATCATAATTCCAATTTTCCAAGAGTTTTAAGTTTAAAAGATTATTTTCTTAAAACTATTTTTGAAGTCTAATATAAGAAAAACACGAACCATTCATATTTTCAAACATGTTTCTCTAATGTTAAACATCTTCAAACGGTATTTTTACTTGTATTTTGCTTTTGCTACAGCCAACCATTCAGCTTGTTTTTCATAGTTCTTGATATTTTCAGAAAAATCTAAATAAATTTGTTCCCTAAAAAAAAAAAAAAAGAACCAAAACAATGGGTCATAATCACAATTTTATAAATGCATACACTGAGAGGAAAACTAACATTTATTGAGCATCTACTATTTGACAGGCCCCATACATTATCTTATTTAATCGTCACTACATTGGAGGGTATTTATGAATAGGTAGGGATTTTTCTCTACTCTTTACAGAACGGAGACCAAGGCTGAGAGAAATAATTAAAGTACAGGGTAGAATTAGGAATCAGATTCACATTTGACTTACTTGGACGATGATGTTATTTCCAACACATGTTAATTTATAAGGTGATGTACCATTTTCTTTTTTTCTTTCTTCTTTTTTTTTTTTTTTTTTGAGACAGAGTCTCACTCTGTTGCCCAGGCTAGAGTGCTGTGGCGTCAGCCCTAGCTCACAGCAACCTCAAACTCCTGGGCTCAAGCAATCCTTCTGCCTCAGCCTCCTGAGTAGCTAGGACTACAGGCATGCGCCATCATACCTGGCTAATTTTTTTTTTCTATATATTTTTAGTTGTCCAACTAATTTCTTTCTATTTTTAGTAGAGACAGGGTATCATTTTTGCTCAGTCTGGTCTCGAACTCCTGAGCTCAAAGGATCCTCCTGCCTCTGCCTCCCAGAGTGCTGGGATTACAGCTGTGAGCCACCACACCCGGCCTGATGTATCATTTTCAAAGACCTAGTATAACGGTAACACTTGATACTCTCATGCTCCTTTACCATTCACCCAACAAGTTGCACATATCATTGCATCCCATGATAGGGATACCAGACTTAAACACAGCCCATTACTCTAAGTCCAAAGTGCTGTCCACTTCACCACTTGGAAAATCAGACCGATCCATGAAATTCTATAGTCAAACTGTAGCCTGTATGAGAAGGGTGTGTGGGTGGGGGGGAAGATAAAAAGAAAGGTTGGTTAATGGGCACAAACACACAGAGGGAAGGAGCAAATTCTAATGTTCCATAGCAGAGTAGGGTGACTGTAGTCAACAACAATGTATTGTGTATTTCAAAACAGCTAGAAGAAGCCAGGGGTGGTGGCTCACCCCTGTAACCCTAGCACTTTGTGAGGCCAAGGTGGGAGGATCCCTTGAGCCCAGGAGTTTGAGACCAGCCTGTGCAACATAGCAGGACCCTATCTCTACAAAAAATAGAAAAATTAGCTGGGTGTGTACCTGTAGTCCCAGCTACTCTAGAGGTTCAGGAGGGAGGATCACTTGAGCCCAGGAGTTCAAGGCTGCAGTGAGCTTACGATTGTGCCACTGCACTCTAGCCTAGGTGACAGAGCAAGACATGGTCTCTAAAAAATAGATAAATAAAATTGAAAAAACAAAAAAACTAGAAGAGAGAACTTGAAATATTCTCAACACATAGAAATGATAAATACTAGAGGCGATGTATACACTAAACACCCTGACTTGATCATTACATCTTCTATGCATGTAATAAATATCACATGTACCCCATAAATATGTACAAATATTATATGTCAATTAAAAATCTATCTTGTAAATATATTTTAATATAAAGAAATTTTATAAGGTTATTAGAGCTGGTATCACGATAGCAAGTTACAACCATTTCTTCCCATAGCTGATATACAATTTTACTACTTAGCAGATGTGCAATTGGAATATTTATTATCTAATTTTAAAAAAGCAATTTTAGGCCGGGCCCGGTGGCTCACGCCTGTAATCCTAGCACTCTGGGAGGCTGAGGCGGGCGGATTGCTGGAGGGCAGGAGTTCGAAACCAGCCTGAGCGAGACTCTGTCTCTACTATAAATGGAAATAAGTTCATTGGCCAACTAATATATATATAAACAAAAAATTAGCCGGGCATGGTGGCACATGCCTGTAGTTTCGCCTACTTGGGAGGCTGAGGCAGAAGGATTGCTTGAGCCCAGGAGTTTGAGGTTGCTGTGAGCTAGGCTGACGCCACAGTACTCACTCTAGCCTGTGCAACAAAGTGAGACTCTGTCTCAAAAAAAAAAAAAAAGCAATTTTAAAGCAATTTTTAAAACCATGAAAAATAGCAGGGATTATTGGAAATACACCCTTCCTAACACCATGCAAAATGGAACTTAAAAAATCAGAATTATGAATGCCCAATATTTAAATCTTATCTTGACTGCCAGCAAGATAACGTCACAAAGATAAAGTTGAATGGTGCAACAATTATCTTTTTTCCCTTCTTCCCTCTGCTGTAGAGTGTTTGGTTTCATTATTCGGTGGTTTTAGTTTTGGGGAAATATTGAAAGAGAATGAAATCTGTAGTTATAATAGCCAATAAACATCTCCAGGATTTTATAAGTTGGGCAGAGATGTGGATCTACGGGTAATAACAGGAACCTTCTGTCTTTTACAACTTTCTCAATTACTTCCGTTTATTCATTCATTCATTCATCTATCCATTCGAAATATCACATGTAGGGCTCTACCTCAGCTTACAGAGTGACAAACATGAAGTTCTATGTGCTGAGAAGCCCTCGGGAGAAAAGTAGATGACGGATGTATGGCTCTTTCAGTCCTCTCCCTTTTAAATAAAGGCAGGGCATAAAATAAAAAGGTGAGGCTCCACCTGGGAGAAGGGAGTGTCTAGCCAGCAAAGAACATTGGTTGCTGTGAAACAAAGTGCTTGAAGGAAAAGATGTGTTCACTTCAGCAGCACATACACTAAAATTGGAACGAAACAGAGAAGATTGGCATGGCCCTGAGCAAGGATGACACGCAAATTTGTGAAGCATTCCATACAAAAAAAAAAAAGAAGAAAAGAAAAGATGTTAACCAGTAACCAGAGAGAAATGAAATTTTGCTTTAGTATGGGATACTGAGAAGTGTTCTAAGTTAGGATTCTATACTAGACATTCCAGAATGGTAAAATTTCACACATGGCTTTGCCAGGTGTGATAACCAACCTTTTTTATCTTTCCCCCACCCACATACTCTTCTCGTACAGGCCACAGTTTGACTATAGAATTTCATGAATCAGTCTGATTTTCCAAGTGGTGAAGTGGACAGCACTTTGGATTTAGAATAATGGACTGTGTTTAAGTCTGGTATCCCTACCATGGGATGCAATGATATGTGCAATTTTTTGGGTGAATGGTAAAGGAGCATGAGAATATCAGATTAAGTCCTATAACAAACAGAACAGTAACAGATCTAACTACAAGTAGGGGTTAATTTTTTTCATTCTTCCGAGTGCAACTTCTATAATATTAGCTTATTTTAGATCCAAGTTTGAACATAAAAATATATCTATATCCCTTCCATATTAAAAAAATAATAATAACCTCTCTTGACATCTTAGTCCTCTCTATTAATTCAGCATCTTTCTAATTTTATGCATGACGAAGCTGCTTTAAAAAGTGGTCTAGATATGCTGCCCCATTCCTCATTTCTCACTCACTCCTTGCCCTACCGTGATCACACTTGGACAGTCCATAACATTCAGTCTCAGGTCTGATCACCATGTCTTATTTGACTTCTCTGTGATTTTGGACACTGCTGGCCATTCCCTCCTTCAGCAGCTGTCCTTTGGCTTCTGAGAAGCCAGCTGTCCAGAGTTCTCATCCCACCCGTTCTTTCCATTCCTTTGTGGGCTCCTCTTTCTTGGTCTGCTTCAGTGATGTTATTCCCCAGTGTCCTATTGCTGTCTACACTCCCCCAAGGTGAACCCCTGTTAGCATGACTTTATCTGCCACCTACAGGCTAATACTTTGTAATCTTCCCCAAGCCTTGACCTCCCTCCTGAGTTCCAGGGTCATAATTTTCAATTGGCTATCAAATATTCACCTGTCTGCCTCCCAGGCCCCTCCAAATTAAGATGTGCAAAACCAAACTCATCATCTCTCCACTCTAACATTCTGCAGCTACTCTTCTTCCTCGATTCCAATCTCTAGGCCCACTGACCACCAAGCTGTTTTTTTTTTTTTGAGACAGAGTCTCACTTTGTTGAAGCTAGAGTGAGTGCCGTGGCATCAGCCTAGCTCACAGCAACCTCAAACTCCTGGGCTCAAGTGATCCTCCTGCCTCAGCCTCCCGAGTAGCTGAGACTACAGGCATGCGCCACCACGCCCGGCTAATATTTTTTTGTATATATATTTTTAGTTGGTCAATTAATTTCTTTCTATTTTTTAGTAGAGATGGGGTCTCGCTCAGGGTGGTTTCGAACTCCTGACCTCGAGCAATCCGCCCGCCTCAGCCTCCCAGAGTGCTAGGATTACAGGCGTGAGCCACCACGCCCAGCTCACCAAGCTGTTTAAACCAAATCTTGGAGACACTCCAGGTCCCTTTCTCTCACTTATTGTCCTCTCCCACTCTATTAGACTGGGATAGGTAAGAAAAAAAATAATTATATGATGCAATGATAATTTGGATATATTGGGTTAAATAAAATACGTTATTAGAACTCATTTCACCTGCTTCTTTTTAATTTTTTAATGCTGCTGCCAAAATATTTAAAACAACCATCTTCACACAATCTAAATATGTCCAAGAGAGAAACTATTTTAACACAAAAAAGTGGTACGTTTAGAAGAATAAAAGCCAATTATCATAGTAAAAAAATAACATTATTATCTAAAATAATGTTACAGGCTAAAAATATAATTAAGTTGAACAATACATGAAAGAGTTTCATAAGTGAAATGTTCACATTAACTTGCCACCAGAAATAGATAACTTGAAAACAACTCCAATGTTTAATTAAAGTCAATGCAACAACTATTAATTGAGGGCGGGCAATTAGGTGCCAGGGACTGTGGTAGTGGCTGGAGATTTAAAGATGAGAAAGTCCCATGTGGTCCCGCCTCCTGTGGAAAAGCAGACAGTTCAGAAAACGCTGGTTGAGGAAATCCCTGGAGCTCTTGGAGGGGGTCCTTCCAGGGAAGGCTTCTCTCAGGTATCATGGAAGCTGGATCCTGAAAGAATAACTGCAGTTAGTCTAGCCAAACGGGGGAGAGAGCGGAGAATACCGTTCCAGACAGAAAGAACTACGACGCATCAGACTGCTCAGAGGTGAAGAGAACACTGATGAAAAACCAAAAGAAATCAGGCTGGTAAGTAATAAAGAAGGGTAAGAAATAAGGTTGGATGGCCAGGTGTGGTGGCTCACGCCTGTAATCCTAGCACTCAGGGAGGCCGAGGCAGGAAGACTGCTTGAGCTCAGGAGTTCGAGACCAGCCTGAGCAAGAACAAGACCCCCATCTCTACTAAAAAAAGAAAAAATTAGCCAGGGATTGTGGCACCTATAGTCCCAGATACTTGGGAGGCAGGAGGATCGCTTGATCCCAGGAGTTTGAGGTTACAGTGAGCTATGATAATGCCACTGCACTTTAGCCAGGGCGACAAAGCGAGACCTGTCTCAAAAAAAAAAAAAGCAGCCCGTTGTTGAACTAAAAGGCAATAAATACTGACCACTCCTTAGGCAAACATTGACTTGATGGTATATTAGGCAGAGAAAGAATAAAAGCTGGAATAATCAGCTGTTCTTTCATCTAGCTACTAACTGGAAACCTTAACCTCTCAACATCTTCTACTTCAGACCTTGCACTAGAGATAATAAAAAACAATAAAGATCTCTATCAACTAATCCATTTAAGTCCTCAGGTAAAAATTCAATAGACCCGACAGCCAGTCATAAGAAATGCTACATTTTAAGACTATATGTTTACTTTCTGAACTCATCCTAATCCTGTTGCTGCAGCAAGTTAAATTAAGTTTTGAAAAGCCTTAAGAGATTTAAAAATACTACAGTATCAGTTAGCTTTTGCTGTATAACAAAGCACCCGCAAATGTAGTGACTTAAAACAATTATTATTTTCCATGATTCTGTGGGTTGCAAAGAATCCAACACACACTTGGCAATGGGCAGTTCTTTTGGTCTAGGCCTGCACAGCTGCTGGCTCACTCAGCACATCTACAGGTAGGTGACAGTTCAGCCAGAGTTGGATGGTCTAAGATGGCCTCAGATTTATCTTTAGTGACTGACATGTGTTAGCTGAGTGACGGGGATGACAGGATCATGCGTCTCTCTTTATCCAGCAGGCCCATCTACACAGCTATGTCAAGGATTCCAGAAGCAGCTGGACAGAAAGCCCTAAAGCACAGCAATTCTCAGGCCTCTACTTGCGGCACATTTGTTGACATCCCATTGCCTGTGTAAGTCACATGATCAAGCCCAGATCTACTAGGTGGCGAAACAGAATTCCCCACATGATAGGAAGACCATAAATAAATTCACATTGCAAAGGGCATGCATACAAGGACGAAATAATTTGTGGCTATTTTTACAATCCATCACAACTATCTTTTGCTTAAAAACACTTATCTAGGAAAATTCCCCTAATTTAAGTTTAATGGAATCATAAATATAATGAGTCACAGATTTGCCCCCGACAGCTACAAAATAAGACTTCAGCTTCCTTTTTTCTTCAGAAGTGGCACTAAGTCACAATGGAGCAAGGGTATCCTGAGGGCTCTGAGCTCCTTAAGCAGCTATCTCTTTCTGTGTCCCCAGCAGTATGGTAACTTTATTTGAATGGTCTGTTTCCTAAATCCGCTAACATCAAAACAGCAAAGGAAAAAAAAAACATAATAAAGGCTGCTCTCACAAAACTTAAATTTCCTGACTTTCTAAGAACAAAGAGGGAACAATTACATAAAATCAGAATATACAATCATACACTGAGACATACATTTCAGTTTAATTTTGGTTTCTAGATTTTGAACTTTTTTTCTGTGTTGCTTACAAACATAATAGGAAAATATGAGTTAAAGGGAAAAAAAACCCAGCTAGTACATTTTCTTTCAAATTGCTACACATCAGAGAGATGTTTATTTGCAAGGCACATTCATTATTTGCTGATACTTGTCAGTCTTGCACCAAAAGAACGGAAGGAAATGGTGGCTGGGGAAGGCAGAAACCTGACCTTCACAGAACATGTTCCATGTATGGTGGTTGTTCAGATTCTGGCCTGGTTAGAATCTTCTTTCAGGGTACTAATTCCTTATTTGTATCACCTGTGGAGCATTAGGTATCAGTATGCTTATAAAAGACCTTATTCATCATGTTCACCATGTAGGCATCTTTGATATCAGTTGGTTTAATAGTACCATAATCACCCAGCAAGGAGGAGACAAGGGAGAAAATAAAACAAATCTAACATTGTCGAATTACTGATTTCTCACTGGTGATCTTTGGCTGTTGGGCTTAATCACTAGAAATGGTTCCTGCTGGGTGTGGTGGCTCACGCCTGTAATCCTAGCACTCTGGGAGGCCGAGACGGGAGGATCGCTTGAACTCAGGAGTTGGAGACCAGCCTGAGCAAGAGCGAGACCCCATCTCTACTATAAATAGAAAGAAATTAGCCAAACAACTAAAAATAGAAACAATTAGCCGGGCATGGTGGCACGTGCCAGCTACCTGGGAGGCTGAGGCAGTAGGATCACTTGAGCCTAGGAGTTTGAGGTTACTGTGAGCTAGGCTGACGCCACAGCACTCTAGCCTGGGCAACAGAGGGAGACACTGTCTCAAAAAAAGAAAGGAAAGAAATGGTTCCTAAGGAACAACATTGAAAATTAACCCCCACAAAAATGAAAGAAAACGTACTCCCTAAAACACTGCAGGAGGAAATAGTCACTAATGAATCATAAAATTGCTCTTTTCTAGTCAGAATCATCATGGGTTGGTTTGGGGACCAAAGAAATTCAAGCCCACAGATGGTGGCTTTTAGAGACTGTGGTCTGACTCTTCTTCCTGTTCTCTTTTGTTTTCATTCTTTATGGTACGGAAGGGAACTCGGCAGGGAAAAAGAGAATTCTCAATGAGCTCCGAAAGGAGCTGACTCAGAGAACATAGCAAATGTTTTGCTGCAATCAGGGTTGTTCCTCTGTCCCTTCTGTATCATGCTCCATTCCAGGGCCCTGCATCCCCAGGCTTCCCTTGGATGGGAATAAGAAATGAGCCTTGTCTTAGTCTTCTGGCTTCCTTCACTGCCTGCCCATAACCACACCTGGGGGACATTCAGTTCTTTCCCTCTAATCCTACTCAGCTTTTTCCAACCCAGTAAGGGAGCACCCATTAGCAGTTTTCTAGAAAGCAGAAACTGGCACTTGAATTCCAGGCACAGCCTTCCAACTCACACCCATGTGAACTAAAATAAAACCTTAACCCCCCCTCCACCTGCCCACACCAGCTGACTGAATGGGCCAAGGGGACCCTGGAAATACCCTAAAGCTGAGTTGGTGGCCATGACAAGGGATGTTGGGAGTCGACTACCTCTCACCACCCCACCCAACAGAGAGACAGAGACACCAAGGATGCAAACACTCAAGAGGAGTTTATTTTCTGGCTAGCCAGGGTCCAAGCCTTGAGCACCAACGCAGTGGCCACTCTGGTAGGCAAGGACCCCGACCAGGGTTGCAGCGTGTCTTTTATCCCTATTGTGCATACGCTATGCAGTGGCTGATCACGTGTGGATCATGCATTGACCTTTAACATGATTGGTTGGCTGGTAGCCCCACTATACAGGGGTTCGAACAATACAAAGTTGGCGCAAACAAGCAAGCAAGCAACGGTTTCCATGGCAAGCAAGCAACAGTTTCCAGAAGCCAGATGTTAGTTCCGGCTTCACTGGGGTGTGGGCCTTGCAGGTATGCAATGTCTCGACCCCTCACAGGGAGGTCAGACATACCTCATCATGTTCCCTTATCTTCTTGGAGATGTCCATTATAACTCATTAACAGGCCTAGGGCTATGCAGGGCAGGGAATGAAGCATACCTAAAGGTCCTCCATTTACTTAACTGATCATTTGAGTCTGGGTATCTGTCCAGTATATGTCCTGAGGCTTGTCTCTGATTAACAGACTTCCTTATCTTAACTTAAAATATTCTAAGCCTTTAGCCAAAGCTTCATTTCTTTAACCAATTACAAATCAAAGAATCTTTAAACCTACCTATAACCAGTAAGCCCCTCCCCCCCACTTTGAGATGTCCTGGGTTTTTTGGCCAAACCAATGTACACCTTCTATGTATTGATTTATGACTTTACACATAATTCCCGTCTCCCTGAAATGTATAAAACCAAACTGTAACCCAATCACAGTGAGTCCACTTGCTCAAGGCTTCCTGGGCATGGCTCCAGGCCATGGTCATACTTGGCTCAGGATAAATCTCTTGAAATTATTTTACAGAATTTGGGTTCTTTTCCATTGACACCCGCGACCCTTAGAGAGCACTTAAGTGCTGATCTCAGCCCCTGCCCTCCCCTCATCCTCTCTTCCTGAACTGAACTGAAGACAGCAAAAGAGGAAACATCAATAACAGCCTTCAAAGGGGCAGGGAAGGATGAGCTAGAGAGGGCAGTAGAACATGGTCTCTGGGTGGAGCCTGAATGTCGGGTAAAGACTTTAGGCCTTCAGAAGGCTTGAAAGAGAGAAGAAAGATCAAATAATGTGTCGTGATGGCCTCACTGCCCACTTCATTGCCTGCCCTCCCCCCCCAGAGAAGATCTGCAGGGCCTGTTTCTATTTGCATCCCAAATATATACGATGCTCTCAGAACAAAAGTGCTCACTAGCCTTCAACGCAGAACCATCCATCCACACGGGATCCAACAAAAATTACTCGACATTCTTGGCATGTGACCATGCCATCTTGGATCCTCTTTATTCATCTATGCATTGATCATTTTGATGGGAATTTGGGAAATGGGGAACAAATAATGACATCTTGCTGGGAGGAACCAACAAGCTTCTCCAAAGACAGATTCACTGTTTCCGCTTGTTCATTCCCCTATAATCTCGCATTTGCCATATGTTTGTGTGAATTTGTTTTATCCTCAGCTTTTTCAAATTCCATGCCATATCTGACACACTAGCCACTTATTGTTCATTTATATTATTATTATTACTATTTTTTT